TTGCTTAGAAATCCAAATTGATATTCACTAAGTATTTTGTACTTAAACAGAAAAGATACCAGCCTTCTTTTAACCAACCTTTCTATGATCTTAGATAGCGTTGTGAGGAGTGCAATTGGGCGATAGTTAGAAGCTTCATCTTTGTCTCCTCCTTTATGCAGAGGAATGATTATTGCCGTCTTAAGACATTTTGGAAAAATACCATTTTGGAACGATATATTTATTAAAGTTGTTAGGTGATTCAGAGAGCTTTCTGGCAGATTCGAAAACATTTTTAAAGTTAGCCCGTCGGTCCCAGAAGAGGATTTATTTTTGATGGTATTAATTGTACTGCGAAGCTCTTCTAAAACTACGGGCGAAAAAAAGAAACTGTGTAAGTTTACATTATCATTAGAGAGATAAGAAAGTGGATCATGAGGAGGACATATGGTATTAGTTAAGTTTTTCGCTACATTTACAAAGTAATCGTTAAGGTTCTCAGGTGAGGTAGAGATATTGCTAGACGAAGAAGCTTTATTTCTCAGTTCATTCACAATAGACCATGTTTCTTTAGCAACATTACCAGAATTGACTATTCTCCTATTATAATAAAGGTCCTTAGCGGATCTTATAGTCTTATGATAAATTTTTCTGTATAGTTTTACGTAATTGTGGAAGAAGAGACTGTCTGAGAATTTTTTTAAGTGAGATAATGAACGCATGTTTTTAGAAGATATGCGTAGACCTTTAGTGGTCCAAAGTTTATTATGCTTATTTTTTATAGGCCTAAGAGGAAAGGATTTGAACGCTAGACTGGTTAATGTTTTTACGAAAATAGAAAATTCGGTGTCGACATCATAAGAGCTAGTATCCCAGTTGGTTGTTTTACATAAGTGGCTGAACTTTTGAGCATTCTTTCCTGAAAATGCATAATTTATAATTCGGTATAATTTACGAGGGGCATTTTTGATTTTGGACTTTATCGAAAATTCAGTTAAAACTGCTTCATGATCAGAGAGACCCGAGCTAAAGACGTTGCAGGCGATGGAGTTAGGATCAAAAGATGACACAAAAAGTCTTGTGTCTGAAAAAAATGAAGAAACACGAAATATTCAGTTTGTCTTTACCATATTAACGCATGAATATACTTCCTACATGCGTACATATTTTTTTGTACCGTTTTTTTTGCTCTCCTGTAAGATTAGGAATAATGGAGTTAGCAGTTTATCACATTACACCGACGATATACAGGGTGGTCCGAACTGTATTCCGGAAACATCGGCAGCATATTCTGCAGATAAAAATAAGTAAAAAAGTTCGTATAAATGTATGTCCTAAAATGCTTAGTTTCGGAGATACAGGGTGTAGAAGTTTCATTTTTATTTCGATTTTTTCCAAATAATTTCTGAAGTAAAGTCAATATTTGAATGAAAATTGGTGTCTGGGAGTTTTTTGACAATAGAAATTTGGGATTTTGATGTCAATATGGCTCCTACTAGTAGAGAGCGCCACCTACATATTTTTTAACCGGTTTAAAGAGTAATAACTTTTCGTCCGTACCTGTATAAAACTACTGTGTAAAAAATATACATTTACGACGTTTTTTACGTAAAAAAGGTCTCTTGGTAAAATCGCTACGTATAATGTTTTTCGAGATATTTGGAATCGAATTTATTAATACCTGTCATCATTGACATTAATTAAACATGTTCACTAAATAGTTATTAAACTGAAATCATAAATTTGAAATATTTTTGTGCCAAAAGTTCAACCGAAAATGTTTTATCATCATTTTTTGCAGAAAAAATTATGATTAATTAAAAAAAAATTCAAATTTATTATTTCAGTGAAATAACTATCTACTCAACGTGTTTATTTTTCGTCAATAATTACATGTATTTACTATTTCCATTCTAAATATCTTAAGAACGGTTGCTCGTAGTGATTTTTAGAAAGAGATATTTTTTACGTAAAAGGTCACAGAGATGTACATTTTTTCACTCGGTGGTTTTATACAGGTACGGACAAAAAGTTATTACGCTTCAAAACAGTTAAAACACATGTAGGCGGCGCCCTCTACGGGTAGGAGTCATATTGACATCAAAATCAAATTTCTCATGTCAAAAAACTCCCAGACACCAATTTTCATCCAATTATTGAGGTTACTTCAGAAATTATTTAGAAAAAATCGAAATAAAAATGAAATTTCTACACCCTGTATCTCTGAAACTAAGCATTTTAGGACCTACATTTATACGAACTTGTAATCGGGAGATTAATATATTAACAGAAATTGATATTTTAAATATAATTCTAACTAGCTTGACCAGATCTTGACAAACAACGTCTTCCCTGGGCCGAAATCAACAAACTCCGACATTCAACTGTTTTCAAAGCCTACTACTCCGCTACTCGCAAACATCAGCGGACACGGGGTGCAGGCACGGCGTGAAAATGACTGCCTATCATAAGGATCATAGGCGTCGATAACATTCGGCCATTCCTGACTTATGAGTGTCCTCACTCCTCTGAATCACACTAAAAAGGACATAAATAATCAGAACCTTTTAATGGCATTTTTAAATGCTGAAATAAAAATATTTATTAGCTTGTTTGCTGCTGAGCCATATCTTTATCAGCTACTTGCTACCATTGTTACATCACACTAAAAGGACAAAAATAATCAGAATCGTTTAAAGGACATTTTTAAAAGCTGAAATAAAAATATAGGTATGTTAGATTGTTTGCTGCTGATACTGGACAATTGATACAAAACCAATTGACAAAACCTTATCAGCTAATTGTTACCATTGGTACATCACTCTAAAAGGAGAAACATAATCAGAATCGTTTAAAGGACATTTTTTTAAAGCTGAAATAAAAATATAGTTAGATTATTCACTGCTCATACTGGAGCTACGTCTTATTTGCTACTTAAATAAGTAAAAATAAAATATCGCAACAATACTCAAAAACTCATGATGGATAAATAAATTGTTCAGGGACAAAAGAAAATTTCAAAAGGCAAAATAAACGAATTACTTATTATATATTGGTGTTACACGCAATCTGCAGCTTGCGTGCAACAAAATAAAGTCAAATATCAACTCTAAAATCTTAAACCTAAATTCTAAAATATAAATCTAAAATGTAAATTGTAAAATCTAAATCTAACTATGGGCCCACGCCTATTCGCTATTCGATCCGACGACGGTATCCGAAATCCGACGCCGACGGGTACCCGTATCTGAGACGATCGATCACCGAATCGATCCTCGAAATCGACGCATTTACGAAACGATAGTCTCCAAGGTCAAAGTCAAGTCAATAGTCGTCAGTAAGTCAGAAATACGCCGTTACGGCTTAAGAACGCTGGATTAAATTCATCGCCACTTCTGATGTAATCGGGAGATTAATATATTTAACAGAAATTGATATTTTAAATATAATTCTAACTAGCTTGACCAGATCTTGACAAACAACGTCTTCCCTGGGCCGAAATCAACAAACTCCGACATTCAACTGTTTTCATAGCCTACCACTCCGCTACTCGCAAACATCAGCGGACACGGGGTGCAGGCACGGCGTGAAAATGACTGCCTATCATAAGGATCATAGGTGTCGATAACAAACTTTTTATTTGTTTTTATCTGCAGAATATGCTGCCGAAGTTTCCGGAATACAATTCGGACCACCCTGTATAGTATTAATTTTTATTATTTCAACACAATACTAGAAATATACCTACAGAAATGAAGTATAAAAATATTTACTATCAATTTTAGAAAATTGTAAAAAAAACTCTTACTAGGTATTGAAGGAAAATAAAATATACGACTTTAAAATATAAACGTTTAACGGTCTATTAAAAAACAACTTTAATTCGTTTGCTTTATTTGATACACTACAATGATTAACAGTCGCACCTGGAAGTGGGGGGTCAGGCGATGACCCCAATTACCTTTTTTTAACACTACTTACCTATTTTTACATTCTTTTCAAATATCCTTTAGGACATTTATTTTACATATTTTTTCAATCCCTAGACATACAATTTGTTGGAATTTGCTAAGAGTTTGACCTTCGCCGGACGTATTTATAAGGCATAGTACGTCCGCGCGCGCGCCACGCGCCTAATAATAACGATATGGATGTGTCTGGCAACTTTTTACCAGTATCATCTCAGTTGTTGCAGAAATCAGTGTTAGTCTAGTGTTGATTTTTTTATATTCTAAAAGATTCAATTACATTTAGATATGAGTGGAAGATATTTGACTGATCGCGAACTGGAAGAAGCTCTTTATGAGGATGACGATGATTTGTGTAGGGATTACATAGACCGAGATTTGGAAAGCTCAGACGAAGAATCCGAAATCGACCAAGGTGAACAAGAACATCAGGATCGCTTTTTTGAAGAAACAGAAAATGAGTCATCTTGTAAGCAACTAAATAGATGGTTTCAAAAAACCATAAAAGAATGCTATATTCATGGCAAATACTTGATAGGGGTTGTTATATCCTAAATGTTTTTGTAATCTTTTAGCTCCAAATTCTCAGTTGGAGCAGCACGAATCTGAAGAAACCATGGATGAGGATTCAACCGAAGAAAGTAGTGATACGGAGGGAAATAATGATGGTTGGTACATTTATTCTCAAAATGGTTTAGTAGTACTTTTGATTGTTTTTCTAGACACTATAGCAAGACGTCGTCCACGACCTAAAGGTATAATAGATCAAACCAGTTCTGACATGGTTTCTGTATCAGGTCTGACATGGAAACCTAAACCCATTACTCGACGAAGGCAAATAGCTGCCAATCTAATGAGAGAAGCACCAGGTCTAAAAAACGGAATAAATCCTAAGCTGCCGATTGAAGCGTTCCGGCTCTTTTTCGATGATGATATCATTGATTTTATTTTGCAATATACGAATGAGAAACTCGCCCTTGTAAAAGAAAGCACTCCGCAATCTGCTTTCATACAAAAATCAAGAGTTTTTGAAAAGATGAAATATTAGGATACATGGGATTTTTAATAACAGCAGGTGCTTACAAGCAAAATAAAGATCCACTTATCGACTTATTCAGTGAAGAGAATTTGCCAATTTACAGGGCTACGTTTTCACATTCTCGTGTCCAACTACTACAAAAATGTATGAGGTTTGATGATCAAGCTACTCGAGGTATTCGTAAAGAATATGACAACTTTGCTGCAGCAAGAGATATTTGGGAGCGAGTCACAAGCAAATTTCCAGACTTTTTGGCTCCTTCAGAGTCAGTTGTAATAGACGAGGAGCTTATAACCTTTCATGGAAGATGCAAATTTCGTTTATATATTCCTACCAACCCTGGTAAATACGGAATTCAAGCTAATGTGCTGTGTGATTCAGAAAATTACTATTGTTTTGCTGCAGAACCATACGCTGGAAAAGTAATAAATCAGCCCAAAGATTACAATAGTGGTCCGGCAGTTGTAAAACATCTTGTAGCATTAGCAAAATTGCATAACAGTGGTCGCAACATCACAATGGACAGAAAATTTACATCTCTCCCAACAGCAAATGCTTTGTTAGATCAAAATCTTACTGTCGTGGGAACGATAATGAGTAACAGAAAAGACGTCCCACCAGAACTAAGACCTCAATCTTTGAAGGATGCAACACCTGGCACAATTCGCTTTGCTTTTCGCGACCGGGAAACATTTGTAAGTTATGTGCCAAAAAAGAAGAAGGTCGTCACTGTGCTATCTACACAACATCACAACATGCAAGTGCAAAATGACAAGCCAGAAATTATTTTGTAGTATAACTCCACCAAAGCCGGCGTCGATACGCTTGATAAATGTGTAAGAGGATATAGTTGTCGGCGTGGCACAAGAAGATGGCCGATGGCGGTTTTTTTAAATTTGATCAATATAGTTAGTTATAACTTCTATATTATTTTCATAAAAGCTAACGAGAACTGGGCAAGAGAAAATCCAAAACAAAAATCAGGAAGAAAAGTTTTTTTAAAATGCTTAGGCAAGGAGTTGTGCCAAATAAATATGAGTAATCGATCAAAGAAAAGGGGACTTCAAAATAAATTTGTAGCTGCTTTGAAAATTTTTGGTTTTGAATGTCAATAAGACCAGCCCATGACAAGAGGTCATGTTCGTCGTGAATCAATAGGACCAGCTACTCGATCCGCTGTGCAAAATATTCCCAAAAAAGGAAGATGTTTTGTTTGTCCAAGGTCGGCCGATAGAAAATATATGAAGGCATGTTCTAATTGCCAAAAGTATATTTGCCCTAGGCATACAGCCAGCGAGCAAATTACCACAATAAGAAATTGCACAAATTGTAATGTTTAGGTATTTTACATTTTTATATACGATTTGAATACTGTTTCGTTAAATTTAATAAAAAATAAATGTTTATTTAATTTAAATTAGTTTTAATTAAAATCCTTGGGTTCTCTAAACTTTTTTTCGTTAAAAACTTATCCAACTTTTAAGAAAACGTGGGGTCAGTCGCTAACCCCCGTTCCGATTTTAAGAAAACCTGGGGTTAGTCGCTAACCCCCCTGTTTCACATTTTCCGGGTACCCAATTCTGGTCCTAGTGCGACTGTTAAAGAATAAAAATTAATAAAATTTTATAGAGAATATAAATATGTATATAATAAAAAATGAGGGTATTAGTTTAAAATAAAAAGTTGCTGTCGGCTTCCGGTATTTCTGGAAGTGCCGCCATATTGAAACTATTTTTATTTGATAGATCTCATTGTGAAACAATGATGGTGCAAAAAATCTCCGATCTAAGTATTTAGTCCAGTCAGTGGGGTGTTTTGCCATACAAAAGGTGGTGTAGTAGTAATTTTTTTATATCTTAAGGTTTGGGTCTTGACAAAAAATCCAAGTTTTTGACCTTGGAGTGAAGAATAAAATAGAAAACTTGAGAAAAAATAGAAAAACTCCCCAATTTTGTAATTTTTCCGAAATTCTCGCTATTTTAGGTATAAATAGCAGCGGCTGGTGAGGTAGTGCTACGGTGCCACGGAGCGATGTGTTATAACCTTCCTATGTCTCATTGAAATATAACGCATAACATAAAAAAACTGAAAAATAAGGTAGTGCCATGGCGATTTATTAGCGTTTTCTTTTCTTTGATGGTCGGTTATTAATAACGTTTTGAGTATTGTCTTCGGTGTCATCGTAATCGGTGCTTATGGGAATATATTGTTCTTCCATTGTTATGTCTTGGTCATCTTCGTCCACAATGTCGATGTGAACTTCCGGGACATTTTCGCATGACTGACCACTGCAGAAGCCACATACAACGGAACACTTCAACCCAGCTTTCCTGCAACCACATGCTGCGCCGCATCCTTTTCTACAAGTGCATAAAATGAATTTCAATAAGTTGTCGGGTGCTGCTTGTTTTGTCATGGTGAGTGGAACAAGCCCATTGCTGCCCAGTTTCCAGCCCCAGTTTCCAGCCCCAGTCAGGTTTTTTCTGGATTCCATACCATTTCTTGATGATATGTCCTGAAAGAATGATACCGCGCAGCATCCTTCGTTGGTGGCAATAAAGCAAGATTGGATTTACTTTTTGTGGTTGATCTAGCAAAACGTTGGTAGTAGATTTCTTCTAAGGTGTCTTCTTCCAAGTTGCCACCATACAAAGCAACGAAAAAGCGTGCTCCAGCATCTGCGATGTCCTATGGTGTTGCATCCTGATGTTTAAAAATGCCAATGGTGTCACTGAGTCCTGCTGTTTTCTGGAGAAGCGAACAAAACTTCATTTTTCCTTGGTTGAAGATTGACGATGTCGTGTCACAGCCACTAAAAGCATGGAGGAAACAGAATGTTCTCAGCTACTTTTTCATGTTTTAAACTATTATTATTAATTAAACTATTATTATTATTATGCGACTGGGCTTGTATTCTTGGGTCTACGTCACTTGGGCGGAAACAAGAGGGGCGTTAACAAAAAGATTGTAGGAAAAATTTGGGCGGAAATTTCGTTATCTGCAAAATATTCTTCGCACTTTTGCCTCCGCAAATTATTACTCCACCCAAATTGTTCCGCCCTTTTTACAATGTCCCGTTATACTTGATACATCGAAAAATATCGATATCTAACTTTTATTCCAACATTTTGATCGTAAGATTAACCGCTGTGGATATATTTTGAAAAATACATTTTTTTGTATCTTTAATGCAAGATGGCGGCTCGAGCGGTCGACCTAAACCTTAACAACATATTAAAAAATGACTACTACACCACCTTTTGTACGGCAGAGGCTTATAATGGCCCCCACTGATTGGACTAATTATTGTACTTCTCTAGAAACTTCTAATGCACGCTCAGTCTGGGACGCCCTGTATATTAATTACATATCTAAAATTAAGACTAGCAACATATAATAAGGAAGTGTATGACAAAATATAAATATATTATATTAGTTTTATTTCACGTAACGTACCATTTACAAATTAACCGTCCATCTGGTGTTGATGATTCCAATATATTTTAATGATTGAAGCCCTCTTTTAAAATTGGATTAGGATTATTAGTTGCTTGACGACGTTCGTTCCAGTAGAATTTCAAGTAGCGTTCAACTATTGCTGTATTGTTAAAGCTAATAATTATGCAGGTTATTCGATTATTTAAGTTGTGTAAAAAAGTGTATATTGGAATAACAAAAAAAATATAAATAAGTAAGTGGTATGTACAGTGGTACACTCAGTGATATTAAGAATAGATCAATAATTAATTTTTATGCTATTAAAAATAAATCAATAATTATTAGTTTTCATGATTTCGAAGTGTTGTATTTATCTATCTTCACTTTGGAATATGCATGACTTTTATATTTGTGCGAATCAAATGTATTTTCTACTTTCCTTATATTTTTTTTGTAAATTTAATATGGAGATATGATATGCTACAGCATGATCAAAGATATTTATGATCAAGTGGGCTTTTAGCATTGACAGTTAAAAAAAGTAATGTTTGTTTGTAAGAATATAATGTACGTTTGATCATAAAACTTTTGAATCATTGGGTATTATCGACATTGGTCTGTTAAATAGTTTTTTTTTCATTCAACAACACATCACGCCATATATTTATTAGCAGTTTGGAATAGAGGACAATCAATGAAAATCATATACCAAGTATTTTTATTTCGTGTCTATATTTATGTTTTTTTAACACTACAGTTTGTCTTCGGATTGTCTTTACAAGAAGATTTTTTTTTATTATTGACATTTTGAGAAAAATCCATTCTTCATAAACATTTTTGCTTGTTCTAAAATGGTTAATCCCGTTTATACTTTTCCAAATTTCCTTATCGTTTTAGAGAAAATTAAAAAAAACATGAAAATATAGCTGAATTTTTTGTAATTTCGTTTTCTGTGATAGATTGTTATTGAGTTAATTTTAATTGACGTCATATTTTTTGCTATTTTAAAATATATTGGTTAGGAAAATGTTAAAGAAGCGCAAAATTTATTTAGTTCAATGCTACAGAAAAGGTGATAATAGTTATAGGAAATTGTGATACTTTAACAAACGAGGATATGTGCTCCCTTTGTGCTAGTTTATAATTTTTGTAGTAAATTTTGATCAAACTAGAAAGTAATTAGTACTGCCCTATAACTTAGACATTTTTTCTTTTGATATCCACATTGTGTAGGCCGTTTAATGACAATTAAATGTTATCTCTTCATATTTTGTCGATTTCGGCCTCCTTGATGAGATAAACGCAATTAATCACAATTAATAAAAATAAAATTAATAAATTATACATTTTACCTAATTTATTATTAAATGTGATTACTATTAGTTATTATTACTATTAGTCCAACTTACAGAAATTTCAAATAGAAAAATAAAGGTATTTACTTACGATAATTACAAAAAACCTAATTTTAAAAAGTTTTAACATCCTGTAACTCTAAAACTATGCATTTCCATATCCATATTTATAAGAACTTTTTTTCATATTTTATGATGAATATAATAATAATGAGTACTTATTTAAAACTTGCGCAAGTTAATGATATTAATTTTTTTTACAGGCTATTAGACTTGAATCAAGGCAAATTAATAAAAATGCGTTTATCTCATCAAGGAGGCCGAAATCCACAAAATATCAAGGGACAACTTTTAATCGGTATTAGACTATTTCGCTAACAAGAGAAAAAAAGTCAGTGGCGTACATGTTTTTTTTAGAAAAATATTTTAGTAGAATTCATTCGAAACGCTAAAAGTACTTGGAAGAAAATTATAGTAAATCGAAAAAATATTAAGACTTTAACACCCTGTAGCTACGATACAGGGTATAAAGCAGAGTCGGACCTACATATATTTATGTGAAAAACAAATCTTATTTTTACGCGAGGAATCTCCCCACGTGAGATGGCACATGTTTTTTGAAACACCCTGTATAACCGGTCCAAAGCAAACAGTTTACAACTTAGTAGGGATGATTACGACAAATGGCATTCAAAAAATGAAAATATCGATTTGCCTTAGAATTAAAGTAGATTAATAAAAATTTAAATTAGTAAATTTTTCAAATCACTAAATGAAATAAAAATGTTTAAAACACGTTAGCCCTCATCCTAACATAGACCCTGTATTCTTTGTCACTGTAATGGATCTCTTTAATTATTATACCATTAGGTATATTAATTTGTACCGCATTTGCAAGATACAATAGTTACTATTTTGTAATATTAATAATAGAAAGAAGTGCGAAAACCGTACATTAAGCGTTCTAACAAATACAGTTAGGCTGTTTCTTCCAAGAAGCTAATATCCACGATCAGGTGATTGTGGCCAGCCGAACAGTGGGTTCTTATGGTACTTTTTTGCCGGCCAACTTCTTCCTTAATTATTGTCTTCGACGAGATGGTCCGATAGACAGGAGTTCGCAAACTGATGCTTTTGAAAGATTTAGTATGTGCTGTCGATTTGTAAGTGCAACAGTGTTTATATAGGACTATAGAATATGGTTTATACATAATTTTATTTAGTTAGAAGGTACTTAATTATATGATTTTAATAAATTGCTTACTTTTAAAAAAATGCATAAAGGTAACCCATGCTTCCGAAAAAGTTCTATATTAGGTATTTGGTTTGTTACTTTCAATTCAATTTTACATATGGGGGCAATGTTAACGCACATTTTAAAAATATTTCTGGCAACATACAGGATGATTCAAACATATTTTCAAACTTAACTTGTATATTTTTAAAAGGAATACTATACAGGGTGGCGCACCTCATTCGCCTCGGTTGATTATACGAAAACGGAAAGATGTAGAAACAAAATATTTTATGAGTATATGTGGGAAGACAATGTGCATAATTTATAATTATCTTGAAATGTACAGGGTGTGTCAGAACTATGATCCATACCAAAGTTATATTTTTTCTTATGGAACACCCGGTATTTTATTTCATTTTTGGATTCTTGGGTATAAAATAAGGCATTTATTATAAGGGTTTAACATGTCTAAAAGCTTTGGTTTTTGAGATATTTAAAGATATTTAAATATGCATGCTATAATAAAAAGTTTGTAAACACCTTGTACATTACTTTTCAGAATTAATTCTTCTGCTGACTTTCAAGCCAAAGAAATAAACTTTACAAAAAAATTTGATTGCTTCCTTAAATGTATACAGGGGTACCAAAAATTACTGGTTTATTTTAAATATTTATTTTACATAAAAACTTCGTTATTTCAAGTGCAACACCCTTTATTTTTTAAAATAAATCGAAGCAGATCTAAATGCTCTTTCAAACTATATTAGGGTTTCCTATACCTATCTGGCTCAGATTTTGAATAAAAAGCAATAATTTTTCAATAAAATTGTAATCAAGATGGCTGTTGTCGCCATGGCAATTTTCTAGTGACACTTACCTATTTTCAAAATCGATTTTAGTTCATGGACCTTATTTACATTTATAATAAGTTATTTTTATTTAATTTACCTACAATAAGGTTAATAAGTAATTATTTATTATTTTATCAAGAAAAATTTAGGAGTATCTGCTGGCAGAAGGAATGGATATGTTACAAGTGATTTTGTGAGGATAATTGTTTGTTGGCCTGAAGGTTTATGCTAAAAGATATCCAAATAGGAGTTTTCTTGACAAGTGTTTCTTTGATAAACTACTTTCTTTGAAAAACTACTTTTCCTATTTCGCAGAGCTGATATGTACCTATATGAAAAACCTATTAGGCAGAAACCTGTCGTTGGAAGTGAAGAAAATAAATTTGCCTTAATTGGTTCTTTTATAGAAAATCCAATATTTAATTATTTTTATTTACCATTAATTATAAGTCATCGTATATAAATCAAAGAACTACTTCTTTATTTTTCTTGATGAAGTAATAAATACTTACTTATTAAACTATGGTAGGTAAATTAAGTAAAAGTAAACTGTTATAAATTTAAATAAAGTCAATAAGCTAATGTAGATTTTGAAAATAGCTACTGTTACTAGCAAATTGCCATGGCGGCACCAGCCATCTTGATTGTCATTTTATTGAAAAATCGCTTTTTATTCAAATCTAAGCCAGATAGGTATAGGAAACGCTAATATAGTTTGAAAGAGCATTTAAATCTGCTTCGACTTATTTTAAAAAATTCATAGTGTGTTTTTGTTTTTATGTAAAATAATTATTTAAAATAGACCAGCAATTTTTGATACCCCTGTATACATTTTTTTAGTAAAGTTTATTTTTTGGCTTCAAAGTCAGCACAAGAATTAACTTTGAAATGTAATGAATGTACAGGGTGTTAACATTTTTTTATTATAGCCTGCATATTTAAATATCTTTAAATATCTCAAAAACCAAAGCATTTAAACATATTAAACCCTTATAATAAATGCCTTATTTTATGTCCAAGAATCCAAAAATGAAATAAAATACCGGGTGTTCCATAAGAAAAAATATAACTTTGGTATGGATCTTAGTTCTGACACACCCTGTACATTTGAAAATAATTTTAAATTATGTACATTGTCTCTCTACATCTTTTTTTGAGGAGAGGAAAAATCTTTTAAAGACATCTATCGGATGTTCATGACAGATAGTGTGGGATTTCCACCCAATAAAAACCTCATCCTTTTCTTCACTACATGTTGGAACTACCGGTATTACTTCAGCATGCAGCGCTGTCTTTTATTTAATCCTTCTGTCTTCTCTTCAGGTCTGCCTCTTTTGTTTCTAATATCTTTTTTGCCATATCGGATACAGAATTCCATACAACTCTTGACTTTAACATTTGTTCTATTATATTGTTCGGGTCTAATTTCAGTCCCACTTCGTACTCCAGTTTCCTTCGCTCTCCTGTCCAACGGGGACACGAGAAAAAAGTATGCTCTACATCATCTTGTGTGTTTTCGCAATAGTGACAGCTTGGTGATTCTCCTATTTTAAACCTATAGTGGTATGACATGAAACAGCCTTCTATTAACCCAAGGTCGTTTATCTGGGATCAGTCTTCTTTTCTCTCTACATATACCCATAAAATTTTTTGTTTCTACATCTTTCCGTTTTCGTATAATCAACCGAGGCGAATGAGGTGCGCCACCCTGTATACTTTTAGCTCAGTCGATTTGCCATGAAATGTCCATAATGTCAACCCAACCAAAAATACCATAATGTCATATACTATACCGAGTGGTTTTTGAAAT